AATTTCTCAATACATTGATAGTTTTATCAGTTACTAGCTGAGTGTTCCAGGCCTTGCTCGGGATTCATAATTAACTTGAGTGTATGCACCGATTAAAAAAAAAGCGTGCTATATTATACGTACCCCCCCCCCTCCCCTCTTATTTAAGGGTCTACCCCCTATGACCATCTCCTTATACCTCCACATGCCAAATTTGGTTCCATTTGCTTGATTAGTTCTCGAGTTATGCAGAAATTTCTGTTTCATTTGTATGGGAGCCTCCTCCTCTTAAAGAGGGGGGAGGGGTCTCGAACCATCATAAGAACCTTTCCCGGCTTCAAAAGCCCTTGCATACAAATTTTCACGCCAATCGGTTCAGTAGTTTCCGAGTCTATAAGGGTCAGACAGGCAGACAGACAGTCAGACAGAAATTCGTTTTTATGTATATAGATTTGAACTTCCCCGAAATTGTCTGGACTTCGTTGAAGTTGTAAGTATTTCTTAAAAGTTTCCACAATTTTCCCAAAGTTCTTTGATGTTATCGGAAGTAAACGAAATTTTCCAGAAGTTTTCTAAAGATTGATGCTCACGAAACATTTTTAATATCTTTAAACTTCTCCAAACATCTCTGAACCTCCTCAATGTTCTTAATGATCTTGGATCTGTCTGGAATCTTAGGAACTTCCTTTAGTATTCAGAACTTCTTTGAAATTCTCTAAGCTTCTGTGAAATGTGTATGTTAATATAATTGCTCTGAGGTCCGCAATTCAGTTTCTCAGCAACCATTCACCATCGGGTGATGGATAGAGATTGTGGCACGCCATGATTCGTTCAGAGACGATTAGCGTTCAGAACGCCATGTTCTACTACCAAAAATGTTAAAAATCCGTCTACCGTTCTGCACTCGAGTTGATAAAACGAGCGGTTTGAGGGCCACCGCTAATGAGGTATGAGACCTAACCTCAGGTAGGTTCAGTGATGCGGGATGGGGAGAGTAATAACTTTACAGTTTTAGAAATTCATTTTAATTCACAATAATTTCAGCATGTATTTGATTTCTATTCTGAATTTCTTTATCCTATCTGTACGTGTCTATACATACTCGGTCATGGTCATTAGATCTGTTACTATACTTGCTTGTTTTCTTTCGCTATAGGTTGCTGCAGCTTTATGTAGCTTGCTGTAAGAAAATAATTTGATACAGTAAGTACAGAAACATGCTTTTGCAGTTTGCTGCACAGAATCTTACAAAAAAGCAATAACGGGAACACACCCATCAAGAAGTTTTCAAAATTTTTGTACGAAATTTTACACACTGGATTTCGTTTTAAAACGAATCCGGAAGTTAAAACGAAATAATCAATGCCGTTTAAGGCAGCTTCTCTGAAATTTTCTAAATTGTCAAGAACTTCTCAGAACATCCTTAATGTTCTGGAAATTTTCCTGATATTAATGGAATTTCCCTGATGATCATTTCGATAGATCATTTTACCATAATTCATTGAAATTTCTTGAAAGTTTTTTTTTTTAATTTCCTTGAAGTTAATAGGAGTGCTCTAAAGTTCTCTAATCTTGATCGAAGTACACGGAACTCTCCTAGAGATAAAGAACCGCATAAACATCTTCAAACTTCTCTGAACTTCTTGAATGATGAAGCTTTTGATTTTTTTTTAATTAATGGGACTTCCTTGTAGTTCTCTGATCATTCCTACAATTTATCTGAAATTCTCGAAACTGCCATGAAGCTTTCAAAACTTCCCTTAAAATGTTCTCACATTTTTTCCGATGTTCATGGAGCTTCCCTAAAGATTCTGAAATTTTCATGAAAATCTCGGAACTTTTGGAACTTTCCAGAGTTTCTCAGAACTGTCGTTGAAATTAATTGAACAGCCCTGTGGTTCTCTGCTGTTCTCGAATATTTCCTGAAATTCTTCTGAAGGTCTTTTCTGAAGCTCTGAAATGAATTGATAATTCCGAAGAAGCTATAATCATCCCCGAAGCTCCCAAGACTTCTATGAAGTTACTACAATATATCTTAACTTTGTTGTGGTTTTCTGGAGTTCTTGGAAATTTTCCTGAAATTTTTGGAACATTTCTGATGTATACGGATCTCGATCTTGTTTTCCGTCATGAGCACCAATGCTATCGACGCCAGGCAGGCAGCACCCACACCTGGACCCTACCTATCGACCCATCAACTCATGAACCGGGGACCAACGGCTTTACATCCCTTCCGAAGGAAGGCGTGATCAGAGATGTTAAGCCTCAGAACATCCCGGCGGCGACAACTGGGATTGAACCCACGCCTGCTTGGGTGAGAGAGAATCACACTTACCACTGCACCACCGGCGCCGCTATCTCCTGATTGTAATATTGTAATAATATTGTATTAAATTTTGAAAAACAACAACTATTTGTTTTTAAAGGGTGATACGGTCAAAATTTGGTCAAGGGAAAACGCGTGTAAATCGGTGAAATCGTTTATTTAAAAAATCAAATTAAATTTCTTTTTCAAGTTCAATTAGTATAAAATTCAGGAAAAATATTCAGTTAGGCTTCCGCTTTTCCAAATCCGAATTGCCGGGCCTTACGCTTGACCCCTGCCATCAGATTTTGTACAGCCACCTTGTCCACCTTCTTCGCCGCAGAAAGCCAGTTTGCCTTGAACTGCTGCTCGCCCTTAGCAGTTTTTTGGTCTTCTTTAGGTTCCGCTTGACAATAGCCCAGTATTTCTCAATTGGGCGGAGCTCTGGCGTGTTGGGAGGGTTCTTGTCCTTGGGAACCACCTGCACGTTGTTGGCGGCGTACCACTCCATGGCCTTTTTACCGTAATGGCAAGATGCCAAATCCGGCCAAAACAGTACGGAACAACCGTGTTTCTTCAGGAAAGGCAGCAGACGTTTATTCAAACACTCTTTCACGTAAATTTCTTGGTTGACAGTCCCGGAAGCTATGAAAATGCTGCTTTTCAATCCACAGGTACAGATGGCTTGCCAAACCAGATATTTCTTTGCTAACTTTGACAGTTTCATGTGCTTGAAAACATCTGCTACCTTTCCCCTTCCTTTTGCCGTATAAAACTCCTGTCCCGGAAGCTGCTTGTAGTCGGCTTTGACGTAGGTTTCGTCGTCCATTACCACGCAGTCAAACTTCGTCAGCATCGTCGTGTACAGCCTCCGGGATCGCACTTTGGCCGTCGTATTTTGTTTATCATCGCGATTTGGAGTCACTACCTTCTTGTAAGTCGATAGTCCGGCTCGTTTTTTGGCTCGATGCACGGTTGTAGACGATACACCCAGCTTATTTGCGGCATCTCGGAGAGAGAGGTTAGGGTTTCGCTTGAAACTACCGGCAACTCTCTTTGTCGTCTCAGCGGCTTTCGGTTTTCGATTTCCCCCCGATTCAGACTTCCTGGCTGTCGACAAACGTTCCCCAAACACTTTAATTACATTTGTAACGGTTGATTTGGCAATTTTTAGCGATTTTGCCAACTTTGCGTGCGAGTAGCTCGGATTTTCGCGATGCGCGAGCAAAATTTTGATACGCTGCTCTTCTTGCTTGGACGGCATTTTGACAACTGAAGAGTGAATTCCAAAATCAAAATAGGAGCAACATTCTACACACACACACCTTCAAAATGAGGGGTGTTCAGGTTTTTTAAATGCAAAATTGAAAGAAATACGTCAAGTTGATATTGACCAAATTTTGACCGTATCACCCTTTAAATAGGCGAAATATCTCAGCACCACGCACACATATTGCGTGTCTGTTTATTTACATTTATCTGCTGCTTTCTATTCTATCCATTCCAATCGACGGAATTGTCCAAAACGGGTTGAAAACCTTTTCACAAAGCTCCAAACTTTTCAGGCGAGTGTGACTATTGTCGGCAGACTCTTTTTCTTAGGCATCCTTTCCAATTGAACTGCATGTTAACCAGCTGTTCCATTATCGGCAACTGGAAATCAACCGTATTTTGAAATGCGTATGTTTCATTTGACGAAAAATCTAGCATAACAGGCTTGGTCGTAAAAACGTTATCAGATTGAAGTTGAAAGACTAAGGAATCGTTTGAAAATATTCAGCGAAGTGTTTTGGTGAGAAATTTACGTTTAAATTTTGGTTGCCGAAAACAGTTAATGGATGTACCCAACACCGTGTTGCCAGATCTGAGTTAACCACATCCCTCAGGACCCGAGGAAAACAACCCGCGATACCCGTTAGAGATGTCTTGGATAGCCGAAATCTCGACTATTTGAATTTAATTTATGTGTTTTTAAAACGGATAGATCTGCGGATTTAGTAGTTAATGTCATCTTGTGTTCTCCCAAGTTGTTAGCTTCCCATCGGGGGTCCGTCATTTTGATCAGTTTGTCGCTTAGTTCGAGATCAAGAGCACATTGCTCTCCAAATCTTGTATTCTCAATCCCTACCCTGCCAACCATTTGTTTCTATTTGTTACCCCTAACCGCGAGATAGCCGCGAGTAATCGGCCCCCGCTTTACTAACGTTACTTTCTAGTAGTTTTGTGATCTAAACAATGAATATCGACTCCGCAAAGCTACAGCAAATGAGCCTGGAAAATAAATGCATTAAAAAAATAGAAAACAGTCAATGGGTGCCAACATTTACCCTACTTCTATCAATTTGATTGGAAATTTGTTTGAATTTTCCGCAAATTTCTAACAGTTGAAAACGCTCTCCAGTTTGGCCTACAAAAATTGCAACCAAAAGAACCTTATTTAAGTACAATTTTCATCACAACATAATTTAAGCGAGCTTTGAACATTAATAAGTTTTGAATTTTCCGGTCCCATTTTTAAGATTTTTACCCAATTGCAGCAACAGCAAACGCACCAATAAATGATAATACAGCCGAGTTAATAATAAAAGAGCGAATCTATAACGAAAATCGACAATTCCAGTTAGTCCCTTATGATTCTGAACGCTAGAAATGGTTCGTGAAAACCACTCATGATACAGACAAGGCAAAGAAATAAAACGCAGTCAACCCAAAAAAATCAAATATATCACACATTTTATTCACATAGCTTACAAAGTCGACAGCTTGTCAACGTACTCGTTCGGGACATGGGCACCTTCAGCACGGAATCCAGTCTGCCCATCGGCAACATACTTGACCTTGTACTCCTGGCCATCGTCACCGACAAACTGGAAATTGAAACCCTCTCCGTCGGCAACGTTTTCGTACTTGAGAATCTGGCTATCGGCGCTCACGGCAACCAAGGCGATCAGGGCGAATACAATCAGAACTTTCATGTTTCCTTTGAAAAATTCTCGGAACAACTGTGCAAATGAAATTCAAAATTCGTTCTAAAACTGCAACACCAACGTTCGAGTTGTTTTGTTTGGGAAGTAGATGTGACCACCTTTGGGGACAGGAAATCTCTTATATACCACCATCAACAGCTAATTTCGTATTCAGTGTGTTCTGATTACCGCATAGCCGGTTAGAAGTTAGAAGTCAACATTTAACCGCCACCACGAGGTGACCACCACCCGACACAGAAAGAAGAATTCTCGAAATCGGCACGAAACTGAATGACATTGGATGTTAAACATAAAATTTATAGAAGATGTTGATGTTGATGGCGAGCCCGAAACGCATGAGCGGAGTCGTGCTGACAAGAAGCACTTTTGAAGAAAGAAGTGTGGAATCTTAATAATAGGATCATAAAATAGGATCATGGTGTGAAACTTGCCGATTGGCTGGTCCCGAAAGTGGTGGATCACTGGTGTTGTGCTTATTTATAGATGACATCCTATCAAATCAGAAATGTTATTCATCTACCATTGTAATGAAAATATTGCGTTTTCCGTACTACCGACACTGGGCATTAAGCAATGTTAAATTTTGTTTACTAGGGAGGCTTTCAGCCTGGGGCTGGTTCGGCTCCGAACATTGGGCATTTCCGTTGCCTTCCAGGCAGCATTTTTTCTTCTACCTATTTCGACTTTAGTTCATACCTGGAAGTTGTGTCTTGTTGTGTACCTAAAGTCAAATAAAATACCTTCCCATAAATCGATGCACATCATTCCCATCCTGAAGTGCAAAGTCGCAAATCATCCAGAACATGAAGCTCGTAGTATTCTTACTGGTGCTCAGTGCCACCGTCATAGCTTTCGGCATTAGTGCCCCGGTAGAGGACGGTCAGCAGTCCAGCAATAAAGCGGTCCATCGTGTTCAGCGTCAGAGCATAGCGCTGAAAGTGGCATATCCCTTGTGGACCAGGATTCGACCGTATGTGTGGCGCTGGGTAAGCTACCGCGTTCGAGAGAGGTGGTTGGGTCAGCAAGAGAATCGGTCAGCTCGATCGGGCAAGCCGAAAGTGTCCAACTTCTATCGGTACGGACGTGCAAGGAACATGAGGAAGAACGCAGTGTAGATGTAGATTGCGGAAGAATGAGTTTGTAAAAAGTTAATAATTATAAGAAGATAGTAAACAAATAAATGCGCTTTAGGAACAGGAAGATAAAATTTCATCCAATTACAATTCAGAGAAAATTTGACCATCAATAATATCAAAACATATTGCCTGGGAAATTAAAATGATATCAAAAAAAAAATGTGTGTTTAATATTTGATAATGCTCAATCGAATGAAATTTACAGAGCTGAGGATTCTTCCGCTATCCAATAAGCATACTCCATGAGAACGGGATCCGCTTCCAGTACGGTTGCTTTCCACAGTCGATGACGCATCGACAGAAAGAACTGCTGATGAAGAACAATGAGGAGGACCACACAATAGTTGCTGCCGAGTAAACAGACGATCACGTGACACATATCGAGAGTGGCCTGTTTCTGTCGACAGCCGAGTCAACACTGGATATCAACAATGAAATATTTGGTTACGGGTAATCTACGGACATATTATCTAGTTAAATAATTCATGATCACAATATATTGGTTATTTTGACGTAGGAATACGTCTTTAATTTCTTTCGTATTAAAAAAAATCCAAATTCAGACATGTAACGAAAAATCCCAAACACGGACGTAAAGATAGAGCGCAAATCGAACCCACGACACATTGCGCATGCTTACATGAGCGAGATCACCAAGGGAGGAGAAAAGCAGCGGTAATAAAAACGTTTGCCAAATCGTTTTCTTCGTCATTTACTTTCAAGCAGTGTGGCCAACCAGGGAAAAAATCGGTGCCTTGGTGAAATTCCGAAGTTCAGAATGCGATTAAATTGAGGCGTAAAAGACTTCGACCTCTCCCAAAAGTACCAAAAGATGATCGTCAGCAGTCGTACTAACTTGTTGAATTCAAGGAAGCACGGAATGCTGCTAGAAATACTATTAGTCAAGCCAAGAAGGATAGTTGGGATAATTTCATCGCAACTATAAACCCTGAATCCACATCCAAGGAGTTGTGGGATAAAGTTAATCGACTTAGTGGTGGACGTGGCAGGATTCTCATAAAAATTCGTGTTGATAATCAATTCACTGATAATCCCTCCACTATCTCTGAACATTTGGCAGATCACTTCTCTTTCACTTCCTCCTCATCTAGCAACAACCAGCAATTTCTGGCACGGAAAAGGGAATCTGAAGGCTCTTCCCTTAGCTTTGATACAGATTTGGATCTTGAGTTTAATAAGGACTTTAGTTATGCAGAACTTGAATGGGCTCTTCGAAGGGTAAATGGCTCATCAGCCGGTCCGGATGATGTTGGCTATCCTCTTCTCAAGAACCTTCCTATCATTGGAAAGTCAATTTTGCTATTGCTGTACAATACCATGTGGGATAATGGCGTGATCCCTGTTGACTGGAAAGAGGGTTTATTGGTACCATTTCCGATTCCGAAACCAGGTAAGGATAGAAGTGTTGCTGACAGCTATCGACCAATCACTTTGGTATACTGCATAGGAAAGGTTCTTGAGAAGATGGTTACCCGACGGCTATTGACTGAGCTTGAGTCACAAGGATTACTCGATAATAGACAATTTGCTTTTCGCCCCGATAAAAGTTCTGATGACTACTTGACTGAGCTGGAAGACCTTATTGAAAAACACTTAGATCGCGGTATGCATTGTGACTGTGTATCCCTAGATTTATCTAAGGCATACGATCGTGTGTGGCGTTTCCCCATCTTACAGTCCCTTGAAGAATGGGGAATCAAAGGTCGTATGGGTCGTTATGTCCAGAGCTTCCTTGAAGATAGAAAATTTAGATTTTCGCTTGGTAACACTCGATCGCAGGTCAGAATACAAGAGAACGGAGTTCCACAAGGCTCCGTAATAGCCCCCACTCTTTTCCTTATTTGCATGCAATCGCTATTTGAAACAATCCCTCCCAATATATTCTTGTTTATGCTGATGACATCACATTAATCTCCTTCCATAATTTCAAATCTCTAGCCCGTAAAAGAATTCAAACCGCTATAAACATAGTTGCTCACTGGGGAGATGAAAGAGGATTTGTTATCACTCCAGAAAAATCCTAATATCTTCATATTAGTGCCAACAGAAAAGGAATAAGTAAACTTCCTGACCTGAAAATTAAGCAAACCATTATCTCTTCCAAATTGAATCTTAAAATTCTTGGTGTCTACCTTGACCGTCGCCTAAACTTTAAAGACCATGCTGACGCCGTTCGAAAGGCAACCGTAAATAAAATACGAGTAATTAAATCCATTGGTGCGAGAATGCCCTGTGCTCATAGATCTACAATTCTCAGGATAATTAATGCATGGCTATTACCCAAAATTTTCTATGGCGTTGGTCTCTTTAGTAGAGGTGGTGATGCTGTGACCAAGCCTTCCGATTTGCTTCAGGCGCTTTTGCAACAAGTCCCACATTTTCGATCATGGCAGAATGTGGCCAGCTTCCATTCGAATACTATCTGTTAGTTTACCTTGTTACGAAAGCTATTCTTTGGTTGAATCTCACTGACCGCAATGAAGTTCCTTTGGTTATTAGAACGATTGGTCTTTTTGAGTCAACTACAAATTCCAATATACCATCAATAGCAATTTTACCTAGAACAAAAACGCGCCCCTGGAATCAAACATCTCCCTCAATTGATCTTTATCTACTTAATATAGTCAAATCCGGTGATCCTCCTTCTTAAATTCAGCAATATTTTTATAAACTTCTCTCAGAAAAATACAATAATCATCATCACATCTACACTGATGGATCTGTGTCAGATTGAAGGGTTGGATATGGCATAACTGCTGTCTCGATTAATTTCAGCGTCAATTCTTCTCTTCCCTCGGTTTGTTCAATCTTCAGTGCTGAAGCTTTTGCTTTAATGAAAACCTCCAATATGAGTTCACACCCCAACAAGCGTATAATCATCTTTAGTGATTCCGCTAGCTGCATCCGTGAAATGAACTCCGATTCAACACGTCATCCTTGGTTGTTTGAAGCAGAAATTACTGCTAAAGATAATAGAGTCACTTTCTGTTGGGTTCCAAGCCACTCTGGAATTCGTGGCAATGAGGAGGCGGACAGGTTGGCTGGAATTGATCGAGAACTTGATGCTTTAGAGATGTCCGTCCCTTCATCTGACGTCTGCAGATGGGCCAAGCATAAAATTAGAGAGAAATGGGATTTGGAGTGGTTCAAAAATAGGTTTTGCACTTTAAGAAGAATTAAAAATGCCACTCTCTGTTGGCCTGAACATAGAAATCCCAAAGATCGCCGCATTCTGTCGAGGCTTCGAATTGGACACACTCGACTTACCCATAGTTACAGGATAACGAAAGAAAAACCCAAACTGTATCACATGTGGTGCTACTCAGTCCGTCTCTCATATTTTTATCGATTGCATATTGCACAGAAAGTTTGGCTAATAATTTGAATAATTATTCATTGAAGGAGGTTTTGTCATTACCTTGTGAGGAAAAATTATTAAAATATCTTAGAGTCACTGGTCTCTACGAAGAAATATAAATGTATAAATGAAATGTAAAAATTTAATTTACTGAAGGGATGAATGACCATAAAGGTTAAAATCCCTCAAAAATAAATAAACAACAAATGAACGTGATCAGTTGCAATTCCATTAGCTGTGGGGACAGTCGTCACAACTAATTTTAAAGACCTAGACAGCGGACGCAGACATCGCAATGTGAAGCATTACCAACGGCAACGACATCCTTCGAACGTTACACAGCTGAGTTTGACTACAATGGTCACCTGCGTAATGCTGCTGCCAGGAAAGCCAACTGAGCACGCTGTTTCTGGAGATACCCAAGTACACCAGTTTGTTCGCTTCGATCCAAAATGGCAGATTCATTTGCGACGGAGATGGTCACCACAAATTTGGTAGGACCCTGAAGGACGCGGACATTGAAGGCTCTCTGAGTAGCTTCACCATCTTTCGGACGTTCCACTGCAGTTGTTCCGTTAGGCTGACTACATCATTGATCACCTACAAAATTTCAACCGCTGTGCAATGGTGTAAGCACGCCATT